ACACTTTGGACAAACAATCTAAGAAAGAACGTACTGATGTCCGAATAAAAAAAGGCAAGCACACAAAATGTTCTCTTTTGATGCTTTGCTGCATTCCAAGTGTTATCAGAACAGGAGGTTGCCTGGAAGGGTATGGTGGCTTTACATTAAGCAAATCCTGCATTTCTCCCCCCCTCCCCCCTGCCAGTTTCCACCTTCCAGACAAGTAAGCTTTCAGGATGCCCAGCATTCTGGGTTAAGCAGTCCATTGCCCTACTCTGTTTTGTGAAGAACCCCCTTCCTTCATCAATTGACTCCTTTCTTAGTTCTGGTATTAAAAGAAAGAGAGATGACTCAGTCTGCATTCAGGCTTTCCTTGATTTTGTAAACTTCTCTCTCTTCCTGTCTTCAGGGTGGAAATGTCCTATCTTTATTTGTTGTTCTTTATGCAACAGTCACGCTACACCTTTTTTTTTGTCCACTCGTCTTTCTGAACCCACTGTGTCCTTCTTGAGATGATCTGATTTATAAGGACATAATGAAACAGTGCCATAGCAATATTTTCTGTCCTGTTCTTTGTGCCTTTTTTTCGCTATTCCTGATGTTTGATTTGCTGTTCTTTCTGCCTCTGAACAGATTTTCTCATACAACTATTATAATCTGACATTTTTCTTTACATGTGCCAAAAGTTAGGCAGAGCTCATTATTTTACCATGAAAAATGGTAAGCAGCCTTATCTTGTTGCTGCCTATTTTCCTTAGAAGTGTTTGCTGAGGAACTGCACAGGTAGCTAAATTATTCTCATGCATATGATAATCAAATCCTTCAAAGAACTACAAAAGGTGTGGTTTCCTTACAAGAGTTTTCTTAACTCTTCCCAAAGTATATCATGTTTATAAAGGTGTCTGTTAATTTTATCCTTTTGTTATCATTCCTATTATCTTGGCCACTACCAATATCAAACCTGTAACTTCCTAGATTTCTCTAGATTTCTCCCCTCACTCCTCTGATATATTCCTTGCCATGCTCCAATTCACTGATTAAAAGGCAATTTAAGGCAAGAGGCCACCCACTGCTACCCACAAGTGTTTCACCCCTGAATGTGTTGGGAACCTCTGGGACCTTCTTGCTCCAACCTACTAATTCCATGCCTCTTGCACTATCACTGAACAGGTCCTTTGATTTAGTCCCCCACAAAACAGGGTTCTTGTGTGGGAATTTCTCCACTTTCTTCTGCTGTCACAATTTTTGTTTTGATGTCCTTGTTCTCTCTGACTACTTCTTTTATACCCTACTCTTTGTTTGCCTCAAAGCTAGTGAAAAGGTTTCTGCTTTCAGTATCCATAGGAAAGGATGGCTTCTGCTGATTGTTTTTCAGACTTTTTTTAACCTTTTCTTTGTTGCGATTTTACATTTGATGGAGGTCATGATCATTTCAGTTTTTCTCATTTGGATACAGTGCAACTTGTTGAAGAATGCTGAAACATGCTTTCCTCCTAAACGAGGGCCACGAAGATGATCAGGGGGTTGGAGCACAGGTTGAAAAAGTGGAGACTGCTCAGCCTGGAGAAGAGGAGACTCTGAGGACAACTTACAGCAGCCTTCCAGGACCTGAAGGGGACCTACAGGAAGGAACGGGAGGGACTGTTTACAAGGCTGTGTATCAATAGGGTGAGGCTAATGGTTTCAAATTGAAAGAGGGTAGATTTAGATTAGATATTAGGCAGAAATTCTTTCCTGTGAGGGTGGTTTGGCACTGGAATAGGTTGCCCAGAGCAGTTGTGGATGCCCCCTCCCTGGAAGCTTCCAAGGCCAGGCGGGATGGTGCTTTGAGCAACTTGGTCGCGTGGGAGGTGTCCCTGCCTGTGGCAAGGGGGCTGGAACTAGATGATCTTTAAGGTTCCTTCTAACCCAGACCATTCCATGATTCTGTGATACTGATAATACCTTTGGCTTGACATATTAGCCATGTTAGCTTCCTTTTGCCTTTAGTCAAGCCCTGTGAAGAGGTACTAGGTATTTGCTTTGAGCTGCCAGTGTTACGTCCCGGTGTGATGACTGAATTCCCTCAGTTGCCCCTCTCCATTCTGACTGCTTTGTAACAAGCTTCTCACTTCCCGGCAGCTTCCACCACAGCTGTGTTCAACCTCAAAAGAGGATTTTTTGGGAATGTGTGAGAGTCACATCTTTAGGATTCAAGTCATTTTCTTTACTTATGACTTCAATTCTAACTCAACTGGTTCAGCTTGATTTTCAAAAGCAGTCAGGCATGTACAATGGTGCTGCCTCCTCTGCTGTTACAAGGACCTGCTTGCTAAACTGGGTGAAACTGGCTGTGAGGTGAGAGGCTGCAGATACTACCTTACTGAAAACTTCATTGGCAGATAGGGGAGAAAGTGGATTAATGGCTCTGCTGCTTTCTGTTTGTGTTGGCTAGCCAAACGGTGCCCATGAAGCTTACACATCATCTGAGAGCAGCAACTGGAGCCATGAATAAGGAGCAAATACAGGACAGTTGTGGTGAGCAAACTCACCAGTCCTAGCAAGGAGCCGGGGTTTGTGAGGAACACGGGAGTTAGGACTGTGGGAGGAACCCACTGCTGAGTGGGGTTGAAATAAAAGATGTCTGTGAGGAAACACAACTATTGTGGGAAGATGAGAGTGTACTGCATGGGGTGGGCAGAACACAGGTGGAGGGAGAAGGGAGGAACTAAAGAACAGCAGTGGGAATGCCAGGGCTTTGGTAAGTGTGAGTTCTGGGGTATTTTAATCAAGATTTTCTTTTTTTTCTGTTTTCAGCCCCACAACTTACTGCTGATCTCAATCCTCCCTATCTCCCATGCATTTACGCACCATCAGCGCATACAAAATACAAAGCACAAATTTTGTACTCAAGTTTATCACCTCACAGTTGTTGCACAAGAGCCCAGCATTGTATCCTATGGAAGGGTGATTCAGGGTTTTGATAGCAAGCATCAACTTGGTTAAAAAGGATGAATTGAGCTGTCTCCTCATGTCTGAGTGCAATCTAGTGTATTCTAGTAAAATCAGCAACTAGATCCTGAATTTGCATTTGAAATGCCTCAGCTATGTTTAGAGATGTGTTTCAATGACAAAAAGCTCGTGAAACTACACTGTGACTTTCTTTTCTGTCTACTGATTGTATTTCCTGTTTCTTCACAGTGGAAAGTTTGAAGCTGTGCGAGGAAATAAGATTTTTTCCCTGTGAGGCTCTTAATCTGTTGTGGCGTGGTCAGACAGGGGCAGGGAGGAAGCACGCAAAGAATTACTCTAACTGAAATCTTGCCGTGAAATTTGAGGGCATAACTAGGCTTCAGCAAACACTTAGGTAGGCTTAATTCCAGTGAGAGGGCCAACCCTGTAGACAAAGGAAAGTGCTGCAAGGAAGATGGAAAGAAAAGCAGGCAGAATGCATTTTCTCAAGGGACGAGGCCTCTTTCCTGCAGCAGCTCTTCATGTTGCATAAAAGTCACTCTCTTTGCACACAATACGAAAAAGAGAAGTGAAGCCAGCTCAGTGCACATGAGACATAAGGAGGCTCCTCAGTAAAGAAATCCAGCTATATATGCCATATTCTGTTTAGAGGTAGTTCTTCATAATCTATGTTCAGATGTCCCCTCTCTAGACCTTTATTTTCTGCCATATTATTCTCCTCTGTTGTCTGATGTGTGTTCTTCCTTGCTCTGTCCTACCTCGCTTCCAGCTCTGCCTTGTGTACCCTCCATGCTAGCTCCCTGGACATCCTGTGAGCATCTCATTCTGGTCTGCTAGCTAAATTAACCAAGCAAAACTTCCTCCTTCTTGCTTCTATTTGTTTTGGAGACCTTATTGTGGCTTTTCAATAATTAGAGGAGGCTTATAAGAACAACAGAGAGACTATTTTACCAGCACCTGTAGTGACAGGATAAGGGGCACTGGCTTTAAACTGAAAGAAACTAGATCTAGATTATAGGGAAGGAGTTCTTTACTCTGAGGGTGGTGAGGCACTGGAACAGGTTGCCTGGACAAATTGTGGGTGATGCCCCCCTGGAAATGTTCAAGGCCAGACCGGATAGAGCTTTGAGCTACTTGATCTTGTCAGAGGTGGCCCCATGGCAGTGGAGTTGGACTCAACGATCTTTAAAGGTCCCTTCCAACTCAAACCACTCTGTGATTCCTGAGTCCTATCTGCTGACTGAACCCTTCTCACCTATTTTTTCTCCAGGGTATCCTGACTTACTGGCATTTCCTCTCAGAAGTCTTTCTGATTCAGCAGCCAGTTTCCTTAACTGTCTCCTTTCAACATTCACCCCAGCTTGAAATCAGTGATAGTCTGACATTTTCTCCAAAGTAGTATCAGAGGCTTTTACCATAAAGCAGAAAAAGGAGACAAAAGACAGTGCTGGAGAAAAATAAATAAATAAACCAGACATTTAAGTCCTTGGAAATGGAACCTGACTCTCTGAAACAAACATTGCTCTGAAATTCCACAGGCTATAAATTAGACTGTGATATAAAGGTCTCTGTGTGTGCTCTTCCCAATAACCTCTCAAACCATCAACACCACTTTTTAAAATTCATTTTACTTGTTGTCCACCCCAACCCCGGTCTCATCTTTCTCTGTTTCTCCTTGAAGGAGAGAGACTTAAAAAAGAAGGATGAAGAAAGAAAAAAGCAAGAGATCTTAAAAAGGAAACCTATGGGGAAGGAGTGCAACTTCCTTTTCTGTTGTTATGTTCCCATTTTTCTTCTATCTTTCAGAAGTTTCCATAGTGCCAGGGCTGATTTCTTGGGCTAAGAAACTGAAGATCTGTTCAGAATATTTCTGAGCTCCCAGGAGTTCTCAGGTTCTCAGGTGCTTCCAGTGGTCAGCAAAGCCTTCTTTGACAAAGAGAGGGTCAACGAGCAGATGGGAAAGGCTCAGTAACATATAGGTGTCTCCCTCTGGAGCCAAGGACCTAAAAGGCCCACCTTTTAGGTGACAAAACTAAGGACAGGGCCAGTGATCACACTGTGATTAAATGGCATCAGAAATCACCTACGCTGAGCTGAAGTTCAAGAATGCATCACAGGCTGCAGCGGTTGAAGGTAAGGAGTGGATGGGTTATTTGGGGGAAAGAGACCTAGGGAGAAGGGGGCTCAAGAACAGCGAATGCAGACTTTTCCTTCTGTGACTCTGGTTCCTACCTGATCTTGATAAATTGGTGAGAAAAAAGAGTTGTCTACTACTGCAGGAGACTGGAAGAGTTTTGAAGTAAGAGGATCAAGGAATGTCTACAAGAGGAGAGGTGGGAAGCTTTAGGTGGTTGGAGTTACAACATGGATGACTACTGGGAGTACCAGGTTTGAAGTAAGCATTCAGTAAGGAGTGTATTCAGGCTTTCTTAGTCCCTGGTTGCACTGCCGACAGTGGCAAATGGTACAAGGCAGGTACTACCTGCTTCTTTACATGTTGTGCTGTCTTGGACAAGAGTAATTTTTGGACAAATACTGAGTACTATCAATAGAGACCCTGGTCTATTACAAAAGATCTGATCTGTCACAAAGGTTGAGTGCCTCCCAGAGCAGCAAATGACAGCAAATAAGCCCAAGCCCTGGCTGCTACTGCTCTTGCCTCTGAGAGAGTGAGACCACAGATTCCTGCATACGAGAGAGCAGGAGTAGAGAACCAACATGCCTGCTTACAGTAGAGCAGCCAGTTGCCCTCTGCAGCTTCACAATAGGTGGCACTGGGTGAAGAAATTTGTAGCCTCGTTATCCCTGATTGATTGAGAAATGATTCTTGGAGGAGAGAGACACAAATGTTAAAGTGAAAAATGAACTTGAAAAAACCACCCTAAAATACACAAAGGAAGATTTATCTAAGATCTGGTGGAAGATCCAATTCTGTGACTGATGTTTACACTCCTGAAAAATAAATAACACACCAAACAAAAAAATGTTTTTTGCTATTAAAAATCACGTGTTAAGTGGCACCTTTACTAGCCTTTGTGCAAATTTAAGGCATGTTTTGATCAGTATGTATTATGTAGTCTTTATGCCACAAGTATGAACACATACAGATGTTCCATGTATGGTTCATGGCTTCCATGCTTAGATGCAGGACCATAAACAACAGCAGGTTCCAGAGGGGTGAAAGTATGTGTAAATGGATGAATGAATAATTAAACAAACAAAAAACCAAATAAATACTGCTGCTTAATAAATTATTCTGTTAACTTGCCTATTTACAGCTTTACCTCAGTTTTACAATCTCAAACAGAGCAGGCATGAGCTCTAGATTATTCCTCGCCTGCTCTGAGGCATGAGTCATGGAAAGAAAGAATGTACATACTCGTGACTGACTTGAAAGCTCACTGTTTCTATGCACCAAGACCATGGTGTGGTGAGGGTGGTGGAGGTTCCCCTTTGTGTTCCCAATGATCTACTCTAAAGACACCTGATCAAGCCATGTTTGCTTGAGCTGCTGATGCCAGGCTCATGCCATAGGTTTGGATGTGTGCTCAGGGTCTGTCTTTCAGTGTGTCTGCCCAAATGATCATGCACTGATTGTAGCTTTTAATTCAGTGAATATTGTTGCACACAATGCTAATGTCTTCCACAGCCTCATGGTACGCTCATAGTTTGAGAGTTATGATCGAAAATTATCGAAAGACTGAGGGAGTCTTGCTGCTCAGTTGTCCTTCTGTGTGGTTACCCTGGCTATGTAGACTCTGATGGTAATGTCCAAGTACACCTAGGTTTTCTCTTTTGTAACCTCTTCCAGTTTTACTCTGGAGATACCAAAATAGACAGTCATTGGAAGATAGAGAGGAGAAGGCAGCAGCTCATCAAACATATAATCTATGGCAGGAGATGGCAGAGACTTCTGGAGGGGAATTTCATTCCTCAGTGCAGCTAGTGTTCCTGCATTTCCAACCGTGATTTCCCAGGTGGAAACATAGGCATCTTTGCTCCACCACACTTGTTGCATATGCCTACGAAATGTTGTACTTACATGCTAAATAACCAGCATATGCTCATCAGGTCTGTTGTGTTGTAATTACACTGGACATGTTGCAAGCATGCAGGCTAACTGTAGGAAGCATTTTGTGGGGAGATTGACTCACTGAGTATGCACAGAATCTACTGCAGTTCTGTTTTGTTGGTGAGTGGCACTGGCAGTGCTCTCTGCACCACGTGAATACGAATGTAGGGTGCGCAGGTCTGACTCGGGATAGGTGGAAAAGTCAAGCTGTGGACAGGCAGTGCGTCTGTACTCAGCACTGGTGAGGCTGCACCTTGAGTATTGTGTTCAGTTTTGGTCACCTCAGTATAAGAGAGATATCGAGGTGTTGGAGCGAGTGCAGAGGAGGGCAACAAAGCTGGTGAAGGGCCTGGAGAACAGACCTTATGAGGAGCGATTGAGGGAGCTGGGTCTGTTTGACGAAGAGGAGGCTGAGGGGGGACCTCCTCATGCTCTACAATTACTTGAAAGGACATTGTAGAGAGGTTGGTGCTGGTCTCTTCTCACAGGTAATTGGGGATAGAACCAGGGGGAATGGTTACAAGTTGCAACAGGGCAAGTTTAGGCTGGACATTAGGAAGAAATTCTTCACAGAAAGAGTGGTCAGAGACTGGAACAGACTGCCTAGGGAGGTGGTTGAGTCTCCATCCCTGGATGTATTCAAGTGTCGCTTAGATGTGATGGTGGCTGATATGGTTTTGGGGTGAACTTGCAGTGTAGGGTTAATGGTTGGATTTGATGATCCCAAGGGTCTTTTCCAACCTGAATTGTTCTACCGTTCTATGGTTCTATCAAAAAATCATTTGGACTGGTGACACCTATTGTCTGAAGTAGGTGGCTGGACTCCGTGACATGATCTACGTCCTTGTTTTCACTACAGGCAAAAGCTCTGGCTAGAAAAAAAATTGACTGGGGAAATCTGGCTCATGTTCGTCTATGAATATTTTCTCTTCTGATAATGAAAGCTGACACTTTTTGCCCCGGTCTAACAGCCTCCCCCAAGCCTTTGGGAAGTAGTCAGAGGGCTTCCCCAAACAGCATGTTTCTGGAAGTCTTGCTTGCTAGGCATGGCTGGTAGACACATACGGCTGCTGTCATACTTGGGAGTTTCATGCTGGACAATGAATGAAGTCTCTCTAAAGCTTATCATTAATATCAGTCTCTTCCAAAACTTCTTTGCTCCTGTCCTGTAGCGAGTGCTCCTGTCTCTTTGTCCTCCTGATTGCTCTGGCTTGCATACCTGCCATGACCTAGAACAGTCTCTTAACAAGTGTTGGCTTCTCCTTCCCCATGACCCATTCTCCTGCTTGCTCCCAAACCTCCTCAGTACTAGCAGTATCCTTCTAGACCAAAGTCAGACCCTGGCAAGTTTGAATCTGAGCAGGATACTTTACTCAAGGTGCAGCACGCAGCCCTCTGTTCTCCCCAGGCATCCAGCCTAACACAACCTGAGTTACTACAGCGAATCTCTGAACCCTGGCTTGGAAAGTAGAGATGGAAGGGAATTTTTTTCTTTTTAAATCTTACAACGATTTTACGCTGTCACAGCTTTTCATGTTTTTTCCTCTCCTGTCCTCATTTAGCTTACACCAACCTTCTTCTATGCAAAAGTCCAAAAAGCAAAGAGGGAACTGAAGCAGCCATAAAAAGTTTTCTGGGGAGAAAAATGTGAAAATTCACATGAAATCTTCATGTGAATGTCTCAAGTATCACAGATAGAGCAATGCTGATTTCAGCAGCTTTGGGCTCAGTGTAGAAAGATATGGTTTCATTCCAGATTTTGAGGCCATGTGAAGGCCTCACCCTCCAATACCAGCAATTAGCATTTCCAGCTCACCAACTGGGCTGGGGCTGTGAACGCTGTCCCTGAACCTGCTCTTCTCCAGAAATCACAGAGTAACTGCTCTGTGCCAGTCCGCCCCTCTCCCAAACTGTGTAGCTTCCACATCAGAACTGAAATTGCATTTTATCTGAGCAGCTTTGCCTCGAGTTGTACATCCTTGGTATGTGGACTAACTGAAGCGTAATTGACTGTGGTGTTGTGTTTGGTGTGTCCCTTCACTTTTAGTACCTCCCGAGACGAAGAAGCATAAGCATCATCCCCAGAAATACCCACCATGGCTCCCATGGCTGACCTCACTGCTGCTCCTCTTGGTGTGCATTGCCCTTGTTATTGCTCTTCTTGGTGAGTATGTGCAGGTTGGTTACAGGAGAAAAGTCTAGGGAAGGTGCTGGGAGAAAAGCAGAGAAATCAGAGCCCAGAGGGGAATATCTTCCAACCAAGAGGGAGATTTTACACAGGAACAGTTTTGTCATGAGGAAAGATGCAAATACCAACATCTGGGCTCAGAAAACACCTATGTTGAGTATCTGAAAGGTATGTTTAGGAGCAGATTTTTTCCCGAGTACTTAAACATTGGTTCTTTAAGGGTACAAATGTAACATGACACAAACTGCTCTCTTGTAGGCCAGCTAAACCAGATGTTTTGGCCAACTGGTATGTGGGAGCTAGGACTGCCACAACATTATGCCATACGATCCTCTTATGAAGGATCCTCTTATGAAGTTATGAAGGAAGGGGCCTCTGGAGGTCTCTAATCTAACGACCTACTTGGAGCATGGCCATCTTCAGAATTTCTGGATTGTTTGGAATTTCTGTAAGGTCACAGGCTTCTCTCCTCTGACCTTATAGAGGTCTGCATACATCCCCGAGTCTTCCACTGTTTACCCGAAGGCCTTTTCAGTGTTTCCAGACAGCATGTTCCCATCTTGCACAGCCTCTTTGGAACTGTAGAACAATTCTCTACCTTCATACCACACAAAAATAACTTAATTACATTCAGCAGAGGGGGAAAAAAAGTGGAGATGGGAGCACAAGTGTTTATACAGGCAGCTGGATCTGCACTTGAGCTCTCTAAGGTGCTTGGACACACTTCATGTCTTAATGGGAAAAAATGGCTTTTCACAACTGTAGCATCTCCAGGATTAACTGTATGATGCAAACTCTAACACCTTTCTAGTGTTAATTGCAGTATATTAGAAAGATTCATAAAAAGTTATTCTTGCACACACAGTTTGTGGAGATTTTGATGAGTTATATTCTCATTTTCTGCTAAATAACATTCAGGGCATGTTTGCACAAATTGTCAGTAAAGATGATAGATTCTGAAAGAGGCATATCATCAGGATAAAATTACTGCCCTTCCTTTTGCTGTCATTCATTCCCGTCTCCCAGAAGTTTGTATTACTTTGTTTCCAAATGTATAACTTTTCAAAGTACTTTTCACAGGACTCTGCTAAGTGATTGGGGATGTTTAGGGTGGGCTGCTGAAGTCTGATACTATCTGGCCAGGATTTTTTAGGTATTCCACACATGGAAGGTTTAATCCTTAACGGCAAATTTACTTGTTGAAGTAAATTGATGTTACATAGGATTTTGATTTAGCAGAGTGGTACAGCAATAGTTTTAAGTGAAAACACAAGTACAAGTTGTGCTTAGCAAAATGCAGCAATTGCAGCACATAGTTGAATTACAATACAGATGTGATTCCCATTACCAGTCTCTGCAATGTGCTCAACATCAAGACACTTGGTGTTCCAAATTACCAAGAAAAAATATGTAGGTTAAAGCTGGATCCTCTTCAGAGAAGTTTTTGTTAGGCATTCAGATTTTTTCACCATTTTTTGCTAAGCCACATAAACATTCACCATGTGTTTGTCTGGCTAACTTAGGAAGACATTGCCCTATTTTTGATCTTTAGAGGGATGAACAGTGACACAGCTGGTCAGCTCACTCAGCTGTTACAACTGGCTTATTCACTCAACTGACTTAGAACAGAGACCATCGTCTAGCCTGCTCTGTATCGAGATAATGTCACCTCGCCTTGCAACAGGTGTGGTCAGTCATGCACTGCTCTTGCCCGTCTCTTGTGAGCCTTCTTCCATTGTAGGGGTTCACTAATCAAACACAGAGGCCACTATGATTACTCTGCCCTCCTCACTTCTAATGATATTTCTAAATGAAACAGTTGATAAAAGTAGTATTACTTAGCACACCCTAATCAGCTTCCAAAAAATATCCCTGAATGTTTGAGTTAGTGTTAAGGCCTTTGGATGTGACCTGCTGACACCTCTCACCAACACTGTGTTTTTGCCTATAAACTGCCTAGTAAGTTCTGGGAGTTTACCTTCCACCCTGGTTTCAGCAGCTCTAGCTGTATGTGACAACCTTCACCTGGACTGTCTTTGTTGCTTATGACATAGGCCCATCTAATGTGTCACTCCTCCAAACTACTGTTGATGCCTAGTTTAAGAAGAGAGAAGCTGTGACTCTGAAGTGCTGCTTTTTGTTCACTGACTGTAAAGAGATTTAGACAGGCAGCTTGGCTGTAGGTATCTACAGGGTAAATGCTTGTAGCTTGGCAGAATCAATCCCAGCCTGTCTGACATGTCCTCGGTATGATGTCCTTCCAGTGGTCCTTCTGCTCTCTGATGCAGAAGATTGTCGCTTTCTTGATGGGAAGGCAGCCATACCACTTGTTCAGGCCAGCTGTCTCAGAGCCGTGGACTAGGGATCCAGTAAGCCGACAGCTCCAGCTCCACAGCATCCAAGGGGGCTTGATGTCAGCTGCTCAGTGCTGCAACAGACTGTTGAAAAACCACAGGCTGGTCATGGCCACCAGATACCACTCGGGTGGGTTGCAGGCTTCTCTAACTCTGTTGACCAGGTCATCCTTGTCCCTCAGTAGGTGGAGGAGCCCTTGTGGACAGCTGTGGGATGCTGGGAGCAGAAATGCTTGTTCCCTTCACTGGGAGGATGGCAGTTACCACTTGTGCAATGGAAAGCCCGAGGAGGGGCAATGCTGAGACAGTGCTTGGTGGGGAAGTGGGGAAACAAGAGTGAAGCCCAGAGACAATGTGTGAGGAGCTAGGAAGAAGGGGTAATCCTGCTGCCTTTCCTCTCCCTTTCCAGTATCTTGCTACTTCCGTGGAGGTGACCAGCCCACAGCCCTGCAGCAGAAATTCACGGAGTGGCAGTGTAGCTCAGCAGTGCCGCAATACAAAGGTCAGTAGTGCTGGCAGGGGTGCAGGACTTCTTTGGGATGGAGACAATGAATGCTGGGTTCTGCTGTGACAGCAAGCAGCAGTGGGTGCAGATGCTGGAGAGGCAGACTCCAGAGGAGAGAGGTGGAGAGAGAAAAGAATTTCCTGCGAACAGCTTAGGAGGAGAGGGCCATGTTAAGGATGTCCTGGAGGGTGAGGTGGCTGTGAACATTGACAAAACAAAAGGGAGAGCATACAGCAGCGCAGGGAAGGAACGATAAAGAAGTGCAGCTCTAGTCAGGGAAAGAAACAATATCCCATGTTTCCTGGGGCTAAAGACCTAAAGGACAAGTCAAACTGGATCACCAAAATAACTTTGTCTTTGTCAAGACCTGAGATCATGTTACAAAGATTACTCACTGGTCATACCCCAAAGCAATGGGAAGAAATATCTGTACTATCCTTGCTTTTTCAGCAAGGAAAAGTGATCTAAGGAGAACATGAGCATTGTCATGAACATCACAAACAAGAGCATCCCCTGGACAGCAGGGATCTTTGAAATCGCCATCTCTCTTGTTATTAACACTCATCTCTGCAGTCTCTCCCCACACAGAGCAAAGCTGGATGTGCTGCCCAGAAGGCTGGAAATACTTTAGCAAAAGCTGTTATTATATCTCGGATGATAAGATGTTCAAGAATGAGAGTGAGCAGAACTGCACTGGGATGGGCTCCCACCTGGTGGTGATCAACAGCAAAGGAGAGCAGGTACGTGCAGGGCTGAGAGGGGCCCAGCAGCCAGAGAGCCAGTGCCCGGCCCTGGAGGGGAGGGGGCGATGTCCTTTCTGCATCCCTTCAGCATCTGCCACCAGCCCTGCCCTGTGGGTCTTCCTGCTGCCTCCCTCTGCTCAGTCCTGCACCTCACAGACATTGCGCTCTCCGCAATTCCCAGGATTTCCTCTCTAAGAAGCTACAACGATCTTCAGGAGGAGAGAATTACTACATTGGTCTGAGTGCACAGCAGGTTGGCCAGTGGCAATGGGTAGACAAGACCCCGTATAATGCGACATCAGCGTGAGTATCCCTAGATGGAGAATGCTTAGTGTGGCTCCTGGTAGTGCAAGAAAGTAGGCGGATTGTGAGGTTGTCTGTTGTTGCATAAGATGGAGGTGAGACAACTTCTTTTGAGATGTCATTGATGGAGTGGGAGAGGGCTATATCAGACACTAGGATCACATACTCTTATTGGCTATTAATTAGTTACTTGTAATGTGGCCATCAATGCTGTGGGTACAGAAGAAGCTACATCTCATCAGCAATAAGAACCTTTCAAGGATTACCAGCCTTGCCTTGACCTCCATAGTGCCTGCCCCGTGCCTCTATGCACATATATGCATGGGCAAGGACAGTGCTGTGATGCTGTGGAAGACATGGGGCAGAGGGAGGGATCACCAGGACTGGCTGCTCTTGCTGTGTCTTCTTCTGGAGGACGAACTTTCCCTGGAGGCGAACACAAGCCTGTGCTGGCTGAATTGCATGTCATGAGCAGTGATGAGCAGTTCCCCCACCCTAGGACAGAGCAGGGCCTTGTTGTGCTGGCTGTAGGCAGAAGGCAGTCTTCCATGTAAGACTGGTGTCAGTGGGATACCAGAGCTTCCCATCATGAAATAGCAGCTGAAATTTTTGTCTCGTTCATCTAAGCCTTGCATCCTCCTGTGGCCTTTCCCTGCAGTGCTCTGCAGGCTGTGCTGGGGAGTAATGTCCATCTCTATCTTAGGTTCTGGCGGGAAGAGGAGCCAAGTAATAATGATGCTGAGAAGTGCGTTGTAATCCATAAGAGTACGAGACCACCCAACAACTGGAATGACGTCAGTTGCGGGAATCATCATCGAATTTGTGAAGCTGCAGCAGTAATTGTGTGATCATCCTGAGTAAAGCTGAGAGATGAGCAGTTAGCTGGGAAGCTGTGGACTGTGTTGGGAGGGGTGGGGGGACCCTGGAGCCTGCATCTTCACTGTTCTGGATGGAATGATGCAAGTGGCATTGTTACTACCCTGTGTCCAGCTTCCCCAGGGCATATAATTGCTCAGGGAACACATGAAGGCTCAGGGTCACCAAAGAAGGTCTCAGGCTCTTGTTATCCTCTTCTCTTTGAGTCGGTCCAGCAGCCACTGACTGAAAAGAAGTGGAGTTCTTGTTGAAGAAGACACAGGAAGGAATGACAGATGTTCAGAGCTGCTGTTTCCTTTGTTTCCTTGAGCAGAAGTGTCTGCTTTTTGTTGAGTCACACAGACAATGTTCTCCAGTTGCACTGGTTTTGCTGAAGAGATACTGAATTCTTGTACAACAGAAAATACATTATTAGACCAATGAAAAAGGCTCTGTGCTGTATGTGTATCTCTCCCTCTCTAAGATGCAGGTGTTTTGTGTAGTAATAGAATCACAGAATGCTTTGGGTTGGAAGGGACCTTAATGACCATCTGGTTCCAACCCTCCTGCCAATGGATAGGGACACCTCCCACTAGACCAGGTCACTCAAAGCCCCATCCAGCCTGGCCCTGAACACTTCCAGGGAGGAGGTGTCCACAGCTTCTCTGAGTAACCTATTCCAGTGTATCACCACCCTCAGAGGAAAGAATTTCCTCTTAATATCTAACCTAAATCTGCCCTCTCTGAGATTGAAATCATTATCCTCATCCTATCACTACACTCTCTGATAAAGAGTCCCTCCTGTTCATTCCTGTAGGCCCCCTTCAGGTACTGGAAGGCCACTATAAGTCCTCGTGTAGCCTTCTCCAGGCTGAACAACCCCAACTCTTTCAGCCTTTCTTCATAGGAAAGATTGTCTTCATGGCCCTCCTCTGGACTTGCTTCCATGGCAGGACCAGTCCTCACCACCTTCTGCAGCAGTGGGTGGTGGCAGCAGCTGCTGAATCCCATAGCCCAGCAAAGGCAAGGCTGCTGCATCTTCATGTCCCCAGCTTCAGATGGTGGTAAGGCTGAGTGTGTACATATAATATGTACATATATTTAGATATATATGGAAGAAAAAGAACGCACACATGTAAGCAAGCACACAGGTCAACACAGTCAGAAAGCACTGACACAAGCACAAACAGCACGAGCAGCCTGATCCTGTTCCCCTCCCTGGCTGCTCTCAGGATGAAAGCCTGCTAGCAGAAAAATATATTTTTATACATACACAATATTTTTTCTCCAGAAGTAAGGTTTGGTCATCAGTCTATCTGTAGCTGACCCTGGTCTTCCCTAGCTTGGTCTCACAACAGACACAAAGAGAAAACGATCTCTCTGGTGGCTGGACAAGACTTCTTGTCTTCCTAGTAGGTGCTTCTCAGACCCCCTGGTCTGCCTGGGAGCTGGTTTGCACACCTGGGCCCCTGGTCCATTTTTGGCAATGAGGTTCACAATGAGGTTCCTGGGGTTCATAACTTCCTGATGTTGTTCAACCGCATAATCTGACAGGTGGGAAGAGTCTGGAGTCCTTTTTTGGAAATTAGCTACCCTCACTGGTTGATGGAGGTATGTCCACTAATGTAGCATTGATGTTTGTAGGGATTTGACTTAATTCCACAGGATACCATTAATAACACAAGCCTACATGAAGCACTGTCACAGACAGCTGTTAGAAAGTAGTGGACGGAAGAGACTTTTAGTGGACGGAAGAGACTTTTATCAGGGAACTGGAGAAGTGCAATGCTGGGAATAGCCTCCCTTCCCCTTCCTGGTGTTTTGGTCATAGAATCATAAAATGGCCTAGGTTGGAAGGGACCTTAGAGATCATCTAATCCAACCTCCACCTTTCAGCTAGACCAGATTACTCAAGGCCTCATCCAATCTGGCCTTAAACACCTCAAGGGAGGGGGTATCCACAACTTCTGTGGACAATTTATTCCAGTCTTGCCACCTTCATACTGAAGAATTTTTTCCTAAGATCCAATCTAAATCTATTCTCCTTTAACTTAAATCCATTTCCCCTTGTCCTGCAGGTGGACACTCTTGTAAAAAGTCCCTCTCCAGCCTTCCTGTAGGTTCCTTTCAGGTATTGGAAGGTAGTTATAAGGTCCCCCCAAAGTCTTCTCTTCTCCAGGCTGAACAATTCCAGCTCCCTCAGCCTCTCCTCATAGCAGAGGAGCTCCAGTCCCTGGATCCTGCTTGTGGCCCTGCTCTGAACTCATTCCAGCAGATCTATGTCCCTCATATGGTACCTGTAGAACTAAACAAAAACCTAAAAATTTGATATTTTGCTCTATGTTGTTGTGGCAGGATGCTTTGCAAAGCATCACATATATTTTGGGAGTTAGTTTGTTTGACTTTTTGTGTTGCTTTTTTTTTTTTTTTGTCTGCCTCAAGTATTGGGAGAGATGATCTTTGTCCTCTAAGGTTTCACAGTGCTGCCACCTGAGTCCTCCAGTGTCCTCTGGTGGGAACATGACCACTGTGCTCTTCACAGCCGCTTTGTGTGAAGCTTTTCCCCTTTTCCAGCTGCTTTTCCCTAGTGCAAAGACTCATCTCTCCTCACAGGTCTCACTTAACAGACTTCACTGTTTCTCTTAATTTTCCTCAGACTCTTCCCATGCTCCTCTGGCTCTGGCTAAGCCAAATGCTCTGGCTGTAAGCAGAACAGCACAATTCATTTCTTTCCCCCAATGTTGTACATTTAGCCTCAGAGTTAACATGCCTCCCCTGGAGACTCGCTGCTGGACAAGGAATTTTCTCCTCTGTTTAGGGAGTTTTACGTGTGCCAAGCTCAGCTCACCTTGCAAAAAGGCATTTTAGTCACTTCTCTCAGGGTTTACTTCCATGTTGGATTTCTCCTCCGTGGTGTAACTATGTGTGTTTGCCTTCCAAGGATTTATCTTCTCTGGTTTTAGTTCTCTTCTCTGGTTTCCAGATCATTTGTCCTCCCAGCTTGTTTCTTGGCATCTTAGCTTGGTCCCTCTCGAGGTTTCATGGCTATTCTTGCTCTTCGACTTGTTATTGACTTTTCTTCCTCACTAGCCTTTTGATTTTGTGTTAGTATAATGAGATAGCCCATGCTTTGACTCCTTGCAAAAAACTAGATTGGAAACAAAAGTAACCCAGCAGTGATCCATCTTGGTCATCTGCCCACATCCTGTCACTTCACAGAATGGCTCACCACCTTCCTTGAGAGTTCTTCCTGCACAGGAGTCCTGGGATGAGGCTTTCCTCTTGAAACATATAGAAAATGAGCTCTCATTGACCTAGTCAATGAGCCCAGTCCTGTCATTTCAAGAAGGGTGATGTGATATTACACCCTTCTGGCTAGAAAGTATCCCCTGTAGTGGCACAGCTGCTCTGAATCCCTTCCTGGGGTCCTGGACTCCAGCCTGCCTGGAGGGCACCTCCTTGTCTGGGACCTTCAGCAACGTTCCCACTAGTTTCTGGCTTTTGCCACGTTAGCCCTCATTCTGCAATAACTCTTAGCACACAAGAATAACAAGGAACAGTTTTCCTTTCTTCCCTCCTCCAGAAAGGAGACAAACCAACAGAGGGAAGGTTAAGCCTGCGGTGGTAAAGCTAGCTGAAGGTGCACAACTCTAGAATCATAGAGTTGACTGGCAGTCCCCTTTTGTGGGTGTGGAGAGCCTGGGGTGAGCTGTGGTGAGGAGCATCACCTGCCAGGTCTAAACATGGACCCGACAAGAACACAGGATTTTTGGAATTGGTGTGAATGCTGGAGACTGCATCTCCACCCTGCTGAGGGGGAATATTGAGTGGAAGTGATATGACTAAGTAGTTGGTGAGCACTGACTTCTCTGGGCTGAACAGTTCTAACTCAGCTTTTCCTCATATGAAAGATGCTCCAAAAGATGCTCTGTTTGTCTTTTCAGGGCATAGGAAATCTCTCTCAATTGCTGCAGCCTGTCAAGGCACTGGCTTTGCAATAAGATTGGCTTTTTCCAATGGTTAGTGGTATGGTCAGCTGCCTGGGTGACAATCTGCAGAGAGCAACACGGCATTGTCCTCATGCCCTTGGTGACTCTCCAGAAAACAGGCCGCATTCCTTCTCTGTCTTCTTGGTAGAATTCACTCTGTGGCCTGCTATTTCTATCCAGTCCAAGGCTGGAGTGCTTTCAAATATGCTGTTACTATATATTGGCTGGACAGATGTCCTGGAATGCAAAGATATCAGCACAGGGTTGGGTTCTCACATGGTGGTAAGCAATATAGAATCAGATAAGGTGAGCATGAGTCTTCCCATGGGAGTATTCAAGGAAATCTTCAAGCTATCCCACATCTGCTCTCCTGAAGTCTCTTGTTGTGATCCTGGGTTTTGCCTGGCTCTCTCCTCACCACATCCTCAACTCTATCATCCCACAGTCACCACAGCCAAGCCTGCCGCAAACCTTTATATCCCAAATCATTTCTTCCTCATTTTTAAGTGTGAGATCCAGCAGAGTGTGTCTCCTCATCAGGTCCTCGATAACCTGTGTCAGGTAGTTATATCATCCAGGCACGATGCAGAAACCTTCGGGACTGCTGGTATCTTGCTGCTGAAAACAAAGCTTGGAAACTGGTGCCCAAACTGCTCAGCCTGCTGACTGCCTCTGTTAGCTGCACTCTTGCACACTACTGGGGCTCAGGACTGTGGGGCTGGTGTTCAGTCCGTGAGAGTGTGAAGCAACCAGCCTCATTGGGAACACGTTCCTATGGGATTAATTCTCTCTTCCTCTATTGTGACAGCTGGTAGCACTTTCCTGGTGTTTTCTGCCTTTCACTTTGTTACTGTTTCCTCCTAGAGTGCTTGCCTTTATGTGACTGGTGCAGGTTAAGTCTTTCCCTTCAAATCATTCTGAATTCAGAAAAAATGGAAAGCAGGGTTCCTCAGGGGATTCAAGTTGATGGAGACACTGCCATCAATTCCTGAGAAAGAACTAACTAGAGGCAACAAGTTAATTTCTGAACAAAAGCGCACTTGTTATTCTTTGTTGATGCTTGGAACCCTCTCATGCGTTCTCTATCCCGCTTTAGGTGGTTGGTTGCTTCTAAAACCAGGCACCATGAGTGCTCCCAACGTGTAATTCATCTCTTAACCATGAGCTGCAACTAATTCTGTGTGTGGAACAATTTTGCAGAAAAGCTGATGATGTCCAAATTCTGGCTTTCAGCTTCTCAAATCCTGAGAACCTCTGAGGGAAGTTGCACTCGATACCTTCTCCGCAACCTTGAGTCTTGCAAGACACCCCGTAACTGCAATATTTTTCTAACTTCATGTCCTGTTGATCTTGCCAGTATCCATGCTGTGCTTGTTGTCTCTTGTCTGCAAGGGTCTGTGAAAGTAGATTTAAGGTTCTCCAGTGCCTCTTCTAGGAGTGCACTTGTTATAATCAACTACCATTCTCTTCGGTGGTTCAGGAGCAGGAGTCCCTGGTGATTTTGCACTGCCAGGTGCTACCCCGTTGTCCCAGCACATTGATCTGACACATATATTTGTGAAGTGAAATAACCAAGGCTTACCCATGAAGCTCTTTGTAACTGGAGCTGGTAGAAAACACCTGAGAATCTTTACTTACGGAGTTGTGGAGAGATGTACAGGAAGACTGAGGCCGTTGATACACCAAGCATGCTGCTAGTGTTTATGGAGCAGGAAAGAGAAGCAAGTTCCTGCCATTTTGGAAATATAGGATATTTGCAATGATTCCAGAGCCTTCCACTGAGGGGGCAACCTCTCCCATCACTGGTCTCAGCTGCCTAGCACCGGGACTACTGTAGGTCAGTGCAGACTTTGGCCATGACCACTTTGAGACTCTTTATCCTGGAATGGGATGGAGCTGTTGGTCACCTGAGTGTTGTGAGGCCAGCTGGGAACAGTATCTTGGTTTGTGATGCTGAAAAGAAAGTTGTTTGCTATCTCTCTGCTTTAGACCTTGTGCACACACCAAAATGAATGCATATGAGAGTGCTTACATAGACTTTTACCTTGCTCAGATGGCCTGGATAGCAACAACTGGTAAATTAGACTGTGGACGTAAAGAGCTGTGTGAATTGAATACCTGGATCTGGGAGAGCATTTGTCCCAAACTCTCTGTTGTTGAAGAACAGGATCATCAGCCTAAGCATAGCCAGGGAATTAGCAAAAGCATTTTGAGATGGAGTCAGTCTGAAAATAAAGTTCAGAAGAAGCGAGAACATTTTTAATAAATAGAAGAAAGAGAACTGGGAAGGAAGCGGCAGTTGACACCTGGTTTGACAGTTGCCCTGCAACTTTGCAACCTCTGTCTGTAACAGAGCACCTTCTTTTCTGGATGCTGTGGGTACCCTGCGTTCCTGGCAGTGAGGGGTACAACATGTACAGAGACACAACTTCCGTATGAGTACATGACCTTGTGATTTCTCTCTAGCCTGTGGGTTAGCAGACTGTAGGAAGTAGCGTGGACACACAAACCCCTGTCTCCATCAGGAAGTGTGTGAGAATGGTGCAACTCCAGCTTCCACAAAAGGGGATGTGGTCTTGCAGTCTGCACTTCCTGTGGAGATGGTAGAAGAAGGGAGGTTGCTCAAGTAATCATGTGAATGTGAGTGTGTGTGTGTGGGTTAGAGCTTTTGGGGGTTAGCCACATAAAGACATTTAGAAATTTGTAGGTGTTTACTAATATTTTGTGTGTGTGGTATTGTGCTTTACCTGTTGGATTGCCCATATTGATCTGGAATATAGAGATCATGGGTTGTTGGTTAATTACATGTTGTGAATAAATCAGTAAACTGCTTAGATCCATCCTAATTAGATTCAAACCGCATGAACTGAGCCCATGTCCCTTCTGACAGTTTTGCACCCTCTGCATTCTCCATACTCATCAGCTGAAGTTGACTCCCCTCCCATAGGCACAAAAGTAAGTGTATTTAAGAGCAATAACAAACACAGTGTAGTCTCATTTTTGGGCATGGGTGGTGCAATTAAGCTCTGTTCTTCAACATGAAAGCTGCGAACTTTTTAAAAGGTCACCTGAGAATCTCTTACTGCACTGTGAATCCAGTACCTAGTGCCTTCCCCTTCCTTCAGTGCTCATAACTTCTATGACAATGCCAGCAAGCACATGTATGGACCATCTTTCCAATGCTTGATGATTTGACCCTGCCTGCAGCCTGTTATGCATGAAAAACACATACTGAGAGGAAACTTTCCACATACAATTTAAGCTTGTCCTCATTTGCAACCACTTTTGTACTCTGCTGTTCCAAGACTTCAACTGGTATACTTGTACTATTGCATTAGCTATCCCATTCCTTCCTCAGGACATCCCTGCATGCCTCTTCACATGGAGAAACTAGCTGATGGAACATGAAAGAGCAAAGGTTGCACACCTACTCTGTCCGTTCAGAGTACAGTGAGATCCAGTAGGGATTCTTTATCCTTAGGTGTATCCTCGTATGGATGTTTTATCCTGCAGGGTTTTGAATAAAGTCTCCTTGAGCAGTGCTAGAACAATCATGTACAGCTATGCCTTTTGTAATCATGACCAAGTAAAACTTCCTGATCTGTAATGCACAGGGGTTCTGGCACTGTCTGGTGATCTCTTCTGACCTCCAGCCCCATAATGATAGGTCATATGGTGATCTCTTCTGACCTCCAGCCCCATAATGCTAGGTCATATGCAATCCTTCCACTCAGAGCTCCAACCTCTTTTCCAGAGCACCTAGTTAAAAACAGTGTTGGTAATTTCTTTGTTGGGCTCTGAGTTATCGGGCTCAGGCTTCACATGGGGACTTGCCCAGACTGAATCACAGATATGCTTTCCACAGATATGCTCTTGTGACTCTGTTTTGCAGGATATTGTGAGTGGATTTGGCCCATTGCTAACAAATACTAACAATGTAGGCATTTGCACGCACATACTCACCAGGGAAGAACAAGAGATGTAAGGCCAGTTGTATATCCTGTGAAACTGCTTGAATATGTGCAAAATGATGTTGTTTACCCTAGAATGATATTGGACTAGATGATCTTAGAGGTCTTTTCCAACCTTTATGATTCCATGATACTCTTCATCTGTTTTCATTTGCCTCTGTGAGCTTCTGTGGTGCAACAAACATCTTGTGAAATGTTCTAGCAGAGAAATGATGAAAATTCCCCTGTTTCCATGTGCTGTGGGGAACACCCAGGACCTGGTTTTTTTTCTGCATACCAGATCAGAGTGTGTCAAGGCTCCTTACCCGTGTGGGAGTTGTCCTAGTGAAGTCTTCTGTGCCAGAGGAAAGCTGTATTCATGGCCACATTGGTAATGTGGACTCTTGGAGAAGAGTGATGCTGTGGTAGAGATAATGAATCGCCGAGGGACGGTCAGTCCTGCAGCTGCAGGTAACAACAAAGCTTTCATTTCTGTCCTCCCTTTTGAGTTGGGGGAAAGTAGAGGGCTGGGATAGATAATGGGCATGGCACAGTGGCAGGCCTCATACCAGGAGGAGGAGTTTAGGACAAGAGCAAAGCAACAGATGAAGGAACTGGGGAGTACCCAGGGTGTGAGAACGACCTTTCTCCCAGAGCCAGGAGGAATGAAAGTCCAGCTACATATGATCTGCCATCCCATTTCCTTCAGTATTTTTTCTGAGGGTTGGACCAGATGACCTTTAAAGGTGCCTTCCAGCCCAACACATTCTATGATTTTATGATTCTAAAGGATGGGACTGAAGAGCACTATCCTACTAGCATTATCGGGGTAAAACTTTTTTCCATGAAGCTAAGCCCAAGTCACTGCTCCCATATCTGATGTCTCTATGGAGAACCAAGCACAGGTTTTTCAAAGAACTTCAAAGTGCCCATTCTCCCTGTGGACACAATCTCTTCTGTATGTCTGTCTTTGCAAACACTGAGCTTGACAGTCATTCCTATATATACTATAGCATAAAAAGGCCTGGAGGACAGAGCCAAAATAAAGGTAGCTGAGAGACAGAAAGTCTAAAGAGAGAAGAAGAGGAGGGAGATATCGAAAGAGTATTCAGCAAAAGACAGGGTAATGGAGGGCAATGAGGAAGACGTGTGTTGAGGAGAAAGGAAGTGTGACAAGACAAAAGAAGTACAGTTTGGGAAAAGTACAGGCAGGGCTTGTGATAAAAAATGAAAAAAAATAGCAGCTTCAGAGCAGCGTCAGTGTTGCCCTACTCTGTGGGTCTGAGCCATGGCTAATGGTGGGCAGCAGGACCTGGTTACAGCACCTGTAACATAGCTCTCCAATCCCTGGAACAAGGGCACCAGCAGGATATTGGGGTACAGAGCCACCTGGGTTAACCTGCCCCTGACTCCAGGCTGGAGATTTCCACTCTTGCCTTATGTTTTTCAGCCCCGAGAGAAGAGAGAAGCTGGTCCTGGCTGAAGCCCTGGTTCTTCCTTGTTTCTATCTTTGCCATCAAAACTGCCTTTGTAAGCATCTGTCTTGGTGAGTTCCAGGGTCTCTTAATTCCCCTAGGATGAAGGAAGAAGTTGACTCCCATTTGTCGGATGGAAAAACAATACCCTAATTTCTCTGCCAAGAGGCAAATGCCTTTTACCAAAACAGCCTGTTTTGCTGCCTCTCTCCATCCTCTGCTCTCTTAGTCAGGCATTAGGGTACCTTTCACAATTAAGGCTGATTCCCTGGCAGGGCCTTTCCTCTGCTCCTCTCACGTTCCCACCTCCTTGAATAAAGCCAGTCCTGAATGAAACCAGTCAGTTTCTGCCCTCCCCTAAACAGCTGAGAAGTCTCTTTAGTGTCAGATGGCATCTGAGTAGGTTCCCCAAAGGCTGGCTGTTGAATGTTTTTTGGGCTAACCTGGTATCTCACTCAGAGTTCATTGCGACAGTGCTGCAGCCGAAGAGCCAGTGTGATGTTCTTGGAAATACTGATATCAGGCTACCCATGTTTTAGCAGGGTGTGGGTGATTCCATCAAAATGCTCCAGGCACATCCCACCCACACTGCCTGGACTAAACAAATCAGAAATCCTTTGACTGTACTGCCCCAGAGTACCTGTAATGACTCTTCTGTGCTTCTTAACTCCCTTGGGTGAGACCTCAACAGATCTAGCCCTTCTTGATAAGGGTAAAAGCAGTGCTCTAAAATTACAATGCCCAGGAAGATTAAGACAGGATGTATATTAATATTACACCTTTATCAAACTTATCCTGCAACTTTTTTAACCCTTTCCTGACCCCATCCTCAAAAGATGTCTAAGCTGGTTTTGTCGGGTGGGAAAATGGGTCTCCCAGCCAGTGGAGGAGCTCACCTAAATAATGCTTGTTTAAAGGAGGGAGCGACCAATTGTGAGAGAAATGGCCTGATGTTTCTCATCTCCTTGTACAGATCTCAGAGCTTGTTAACCTAACAGAGTCTCTGCAGGGGCTCTAAGCCAGAAGGTGAAGGATAGGACAGATTGCTCATGAACGAGGAAAAAAGGGTGACAGCAGCACCTTCTTTCTCTTTCCTCTCTTCTCAGTTGTTTTCCTTCATGGAAGCTATGGCCAGTACAAGACTCTGCTCCAGAATGCTACAGAGTGGAGCTGCATCCCAAACATATCTGCAGGCAAAAGTGAGTGATGCTAAGAACTTCATAAGCAACATGAAGAATCTCACCAAAATTTACTGTGTTGTCAATCAGTTTTTGAGGTTGGAAATGTGATTGTCAACAAGAGCTGGACTTTTAAGGAAGGAACCTGGAGAATTGTGGAAAGAAAATGCTGTATTGCACAGTTTCACTTAGGATGACATGAAAACATGTTCTGGGCCGGTGGAAGAGGGTGGATTGTGCCAAACCCACCTTTGACTGCCTGTCTTACTCTTCCCCTGTCACTGGCCCTCACACAACCCCTCAACTGCTTGTCCAGTTCATTAATGTCTCTGAAAGAGCTTCATCCTTTTGTAAGGGCTAGTTCAATCCAGCTGCACTCCATGTGCTGGCTCACCGTTCACATAAGCATCATGGTCAGTGCAAGGGACAGAGGTAGGAGTGGTAGGAGGATGTTGTTATGCAGTTTAGAGTAGCTGGAGAGCTGGGCTGTAATCGTACGTGAAGTGATGGCAACGGCAAGTGCAATAATTCTCGCAGTGCAAATTCCCAGCCTCTGTTCAGAGACCTGTTCTCATGTAGCCTCATGCTTGGAGAGTAGATATCTGCATTTTTTTAATGCATCATGTGACTTTCTGGCTATATGGCAGACTTCTAGGAAAACCTGTCTAAGGAAATGCCTGTGGTGGCCACAAGGCTTCCAGAGCAGTTTATTGTGCATGTCTGTCCATCTGCAGGAGTTGAGAGCTAAACACTTGGGGAACACTTCTCTGATGGAAGTGTTCCCAGAGGAATGCGAGCCAACTGCTTCACATCTTGCTTCCTCAGGAAGAGTAAGGCAGAAACTGTGCCTCTCACCACACAGAGGTTGCATGGACATGACAGAACAGATAGAGAAAGGGAAAGGCACTTCAGGCAGGGGTCTTATGACAAGTGCCTGTCAGGCTGTTGCCAGCTTTACTTGGGGAGCACGGAAAAGCATGTTCACCTCCATCCAGATTAAAGATATAGTTCAACCCCCTAACCCCTGGGACCCTGCATTGAGCTAATGGATATGCGTACTTTGGACAAAAGCAGAACTTTTCTCCCCCACAGAGCAAAGCTGGATGTGCTGCCCGAAGGGCTGGAATCGCTTTCAAGAACAGTGCTATTATCTGTCCACTGACAGGATGTCCTGGATCAAGAGTGAGCAGAACTGCACCGGGATGGGCTCCCACCTGGTGGTGATCAACAGCAAAGCAGAGCAGGTATGTGCAGGGCTGAGAGGGGCCCAGCAGCCAGAGAGCCAGTGGCCGGCCCTGGCGGGGGCTCCTTGCCCTGCAGGGGAAGGGGTGATGTCCTTTCTGCATCCCTTCAGCATCAGCATCCCATCTGCATCCCTTCAGCACCAGCTCCCCTCTGCCACCAGCCCTGCCCTGTGGGTCTTCCTGCTACCTCCCTCTGCTCAGTGCTGCACCTCACAGACATTGGGTTGTTTTTTTTTAACAGGAGTTCCTCTTCAGCTTGGCAAAAGGAGTAGTTACTAATGCCTATGAAACAAAATACTACATAGGCCTAAGTGCTTATGAAACTGGGCAATGGCAGTGGGTTGATCAGACTCCATATAAGAAGGCAGATACGTGAGTATCCTGGGGAAGTGAGGAAGGTCCTGTAATTCACACCCCTGAGTCCAAGCAACCAGTACACTCTGTGTGTCAGAGAGAAATTTATGTCTCCAACTGCTCGTCAGAAAACTTGATTAGTTTTCAAGTCGAAACTATTACTCCTGGTCTCTGTCATAGTAATCCTTCCCTTTCTCTTCCACAACCATTTGAGGTGACTTCACCCCCACTGTCATACCTGCCAATGCATTTCCAATAAAGAAGCTTTCTTTTACAGATTCTGGAAACCTGGAGAACCCAATTTAATGTTTGCAGAACAATGTGCTGCAATTCACATCAAAGGAAATGCAGACTCCAACACTTACAGTAACTGGAATAACATCCTTTGTTTCACAAGTTGTTATCGAATTTGTGAACTGGCAGTCAAATTTGCCTAAAGAAGGAAACCCCACTTTGGATAAAGGACCTGAAGGAGTATCTTTGAGAAAGGGCATCTGATGAAAGGGCTGATGAAAAGGTGGCCTGAGGTCACACAAAGCCTTGTCTTGCAATGGAGGATGAGCAAACCTGTCACAGAATCCCAGCTCAGGCTGATATCAAGGACCTACTGTGCCCCTTTTCACTCACCTCCTTCACAGATGGCTGCCCTGATCCTCCATTACTTTCTCTGACTCCTTGTCCAGTCAGTATCTCAGCGATGCAGAAAATGTCCTCTCAGTTTCTTGAAAGGATACTGGTCCTACAAACCACTGCAGTAGAATTTGAAAGAGGAGCATTCAGTGGAGTCTGCTTGCCCCATCCCTGAAAGGAACAATTATTCATGGCTTATCTTCAATGTTTATTCCTTCCTTCAGCATAATCTGTGTGTGGATAAGTTAAAAAAGCCCATATCAATAAATGTCAGTTCTGCTCTCTGCATAAGGCTGTCTTCTGAGTGATGAGTCCCAGCCCATCACCAACCCAGACTCTCTGCATGGAGGTTTTAACTTTTTTATGTGCTTGGCACCTGCAAATAAGAACATTATAGTGAGTGTGCTGGACTGGCCAGGAGAAGGAACAATCTAGTGTTCATCTGCAGAGCATGTGAGAAAGGCTCTGAACACTTTTGGAGAATTGTATGTAAGAGAAGCGGCAGAACAGCCTGAGTAGTCATCAATACCCACAACTGTTTGCCCAGGATGCAGCAGAGATGAGATGGATGAAGATCCTGCTGGAACATGTGCCAGAATTAAGTATGGCAATGCAGGGGAGAGAAAGAAATCAACTATCACATGAAGGATAAAAGCCAGAGCCTCCCCAGGTGGAATTTCTAATCTGAGAGAAGAGTGGAAGACCTCTATCAGAGGTATCACTGCAAATCAGATACATAGAAGTCTGGAGCAAGTGCTTTGCTTACCTCAAACTTTCCAAACCTTTGTTGGTGTATTCTTTCCTTCTCATCAATGATATCCATACTCCTTGAAGAGTTGAGAGTTTCGAGTTTGGTACTAAAAATATAATCTGAAAAAATCAGTTCTGGGTGATTTTTTTATTATTATTATTCATCAAAATATGAGCACAGATTTGCATCATTTCCACCTGAAGCAATGTATTTGCCAGGTTTCTGTTTTAGCTATTGGACCAAAAGCTTGGCTGTTGCAAGGTCTTGGCTTCCTATTTTCTAAAACCGCTGGGATCTTTCCACAATGAAGAAAACTTTGTTGTCCTGTCCAGCATGACAGCAAACAAAAACATTGCAATGGACTTCTCTTTTCAATTTCCCTTATTCAGTTCTAGAGATGATAGGAGCAGGTTTGAGGAAGAAAAAGTGGCAGATAAGACACACAGAGAGTGACCACTATTTTACAGGTGGTTTTAGAAGCAGTTGCAGCTCTGGTTCCTGGGAGGTGGTATAGGCCAGAACAAAACTCTCACAAGAAGGCTAGTTTTCAAGAAAACGTAACTTACTAGAGACAGTCTCCATCGCCCAAATCTGGAATACAAAAGAGTGGTCTTGGGAGATGATACTAGGTTTGCCTGCAGAATCACTGAAGGGAGTTTCCTGATCCCATCTCCCTGGAAACACACATACAGACACATACACAAGTACAAAGACTTTCTTTTACATTAGTTGTACAACACAGCAAATGAAGGTAACCAAAGGAATTGGTCCCTGTCCCTGATCTGTGTAGCCACAGTTGAAGGATAAGTGGTGCAACCCTTAGCAAGTTTCAGCCATGCAAAGCCAATGACCTTGACTAGTCCACCCCAAGAGCAGCACTCAGGGTTTAGACAGGGATGGACTCTCTACATAGTAGGTGTTGGGGTGTTGGCACAGATATTGAGTAATCATGGAATCATAGAATCATTTGAGTTATGAAAGGCCTTTAAGAGTCCAACCACTAACCTAGCTACCAGCTAAGTTACTAGCTGGTAACTTACCTGGTAGTACTTACTGACTGGTAGCTTAACAGCTAACTTGGTCCACCACTAAATCATGTCCCTTAGCACTTCATTTATGTCTTTTAAACACCTCCAGGGATGGTGACTGAACCACTTCCCTAGGCAGTCTCTTTAAATGTTTAACAACCCTTTCAGTGAAGAAATTTTTCATATTATCCAATCCAAACCTTCCTGGGCACAACTTGAGGCCATGTCCTCTTATCCTATTGCTTTTTACTTGGGAGAAGAGCTGACCTCTGCCTGCTGGAGTGGGTCCAGAGGAGAGCAACGAGGCTGGGGAAGGGACCAGAGGGAAAGTCCTGTGAGGAGAGGCTGAGGGAGCTGGGGCTGTTTAGCTTGAAGAAGAGTAGACTCAGGGGGACCTTATCACTCTCTACAACTGCCTGAAGGGAGGGTGTAGTCAGGTGGGGGTCAGGCCCTTCTCCCGGGCAACCAGTGACAGGACGAGAGGGCACGGCCTGAAACTGCGTCAGGGCAGGTTTAGGTTGGATCTCAGGAAGCCCTTCCTCATGGAGAGGGTGCTCAGGCACTGTGATGGACCGCCAAGGGGACTGGTGGAGTCACCGTCCCTGGAGGTGTTTAAGGAGAGGCTGGATGTGGCACTTAGTGCCATGGTCTGGTCCATGTCGTGGTGTTGGGTCACAGGTTGGACTTGATGATCTCAGAGGTTTTTCTAGCCTCAACAATTCTCTGATTCTGTGTGATTCATTACAATCTCCTTTCAGGCAGTTGTAGAGAGTGATAAGGTCTCCCCTGAGCCTTCTTTTCTCCAGGATAAACAACCCCAGTTCCCTTAGCTGCTCCTCACAGGACTTGTTCTCTAGACCCTTCACCAGCTTCCTTGCCCTTCTCTGGACATACTCTGGACTGGACCTGAAGATCTGGTTGTCCTGTACATGTCTCATGATCACACTCAGGATGATCCACTCTGTAACCTTCCCTGTCACTGAGGTCAGACTGACAGGCCTATAGTTCCCCAGATCCTCCTTTTAGCCCCTCTTGTAGATGGCCATCACTTTTGCTAGCCTCCAGTCCACTGAGATCTCCCCAGTTAGCCAGGAATGCTGCTATATCATTGAAAGTGGCTTGGTGAACACTTCTGCTAGGTCCCTGAGTACCCCTGGGTGGGTCCTATCTGGCTCCATAGACCTGGGTGTTTCTAAGTTATGCAGCAGGTCACTAACCATTTCCCCTTGAATTATGGGGGCTTCATTCTGCTCCCCATCCTGGTCTTCCATCTCAGGGGGCTGGGTACCCCAAGAACAACTGTTCTTTCTGCTGAAGACTGAGGTAAAGAAAGCATCAAGCACCTCAGCCTTTACCTTATCTTTGGTCACTATGTTTCCTCTCACTTTCAATAAAGAATGGAGAACCCCTTAGCCCTCCTTTTGTTGCTAATGCATTTATAGTAACATTTTTATTGCATTTTATAGCAGTGGCCAATTTAAGTTCTAGTTGTGCTTTGGTCCTAATTTTCTCATTGCATAACCTCACGACATCCTTGTAGTCCTTGAGAGTTGCCTGCTCCTTCTTCCAAAAGTTGTAAACTCTCTGTTTATGCTGCTGTTTCACGTCTTGGGTTACTCCAAAGCAGTCTCACTTGCTCAGCAGATATTTTCATTATTCTTCTGCCCAGAAACGTGAACATATACCACACAGAAATATGCACAGCAATCACAGGCTTGCATAACTACACTTGTAGCAGTCACATTTGCCTTGGAGTGTTTCTGTCCTGGTGTGTGCAGTGCTTGTGGACCAGCTGCTCACAGGGTTAGGCTAGCAGAGAGAGGCTGTGAGAAAATTGCATGTGACAGACTGAGGCACAATCTGAGCTGGCTTAGAGGAAGAGAGGCTGGACAAAGCTCCAAGCAGAGGCTGTGAGGCAGGCTTTGCTTCACCGTTGACACTTTTCAGATTAATTGTAACATATTAGAAACTACTGCTGTTACCAGCTGGAAACATATACATCTCCACTGGGGCCAAAGCAATTAAGTTGGAAGTTTGGCCCTTTCTTGCCCAAAAGCTGAATCTTTGCTGTCACAGACAAGAGGAGCTGCTTCCTCATTCCTGTTTGGACAAACCTGTTGGATTGATGGCATTCACACAGAAGCTGTGAAGTTCAGCAGTATTGGTCTCATTTGCCCTCTACCACTTCTCAAGAAAATCTGTGTCCAAGCAACCTCTTTCAGAACATGTTTGGATACTCATAATAAGTCTTTACACTGTCGGTTGGCCACCCTACACTGCCACATCTTATATGTTTGAAATTTGCTTAAAGAATAACGCTTTTTTTTATTATTATTTCAAGATGGTGAACTAGGCCACCTCAGCCTCATCTCTTTTGGCGTAATAAGAGCCACAATTCAGGGTTTCCCAAGTCCTCTCTCATCATATTCTTTCAAGAGGGTCAGAGTGATCTCCAGGAAAACAAATGAGTCCCTCACAGATGTTTTCCTGGTGTGCCACAAATGAGACAGGCTCTCAAAGAAAAGCAGGCAATTCTTGTTTCCATTCTGGTATGTTATTTCTTTCAGAAACACAAGAAACCCTCTGGGAAACCTCTGCAAGAGGGAGAC